CGAAAGAGTATAGAACAAATGTGTGTTTATTTCCATTGGCACATCAACTGGATGCTCCTTATCAGCTAAACTCCGAAGACTTGCGGTAAAATTAAGGCCTGCTGCTGTATCACTATGGCTAGGAAGATAGGGTAACACCGGCCGCGATGATGGAGTGTAGTTTCCATTATATTCTATAATAGCTGTGGTGGTGGAGTTGTTGAAAACACCTATCCCACCAGTGGAGTACACGCTGGCGGCCATGTAATAGTGATTGGGACTTTGGTTGGCTTCTAGAAGGACATCAACGGTCTGGCCTGCGGGTATGAATATGAAGCTTCTCTTGAATGGTTTTAGATAGCTACCGTCAGATCCAACCACCGTGACAGTATGATTGGCAACGGAGAAGAAGAGGCTATCCACTAGGATGGAGTTAACTATCCGAAGGAGATAAGTCAAACCTCTATTCACCTTGAGTCTAAAAGTTTCTGTAAATATATTAAAAAAAGAAGTATTAGGCAATAATCAACATTGACCTTTAAATGTAGAGATATATTCTGAATGTGAGGCAATCCATTTTTACAGTTAAATTGTAAAAAGAGAACTCAATAAAAATTGAATTAAAGATGAGAAAACTAAAAGTAATAGATTTCAATTGTTAAATAAGTAAATATTGTGAGATGTATTGAATTGAAATATATACCAATCATTTTACTAGGAAGTTTTACACATCTATTGTTTTTCCTATTTTTTTTATCCATTTTTTCACGGTGTATTATTGGTAACAAAGTTTTCAACTATTTTAAAATTAGGTGAAGACCGTTAGTTTATTTTATTTTGAAAACATTGATGTCTTACTAGAAAGTAAAGAGTTTCACCTGGTTTGGAGCAGGGATAAAGATCACCAGGCTGGCCATTAATGAGGAAGGCCTCCGAATTGTGTTGGATGGCATCACCGTCACGTTCAAGAATTTGGTATAACTCCATTATATCTTCTTTCCACCAGTCTCCTGCATTTTCAACAATCCAAAACATTCCAAATCTTTATTTAATCAATGAAATTATTTTGAATTTATATTATATTTTTAATTACCTAATATGATGGGAAAGAGAGCTTTATGGGAGGACCTTAAACACTTGATACAGGAAAATAGAGGTAACTGGTACATGGTAGGTGACTTTAACGCTGTTTTAGGAACACATGAGAGCAAAGGTGGTGGAGGGACTGTTAGGGAGACGCGGGAATTCAACGAATTCATGGAGGGGTCTGGTTTGCTTGATCTCCTTTTAATTGGAAGGAAATTTACTTGGTATCATCCAAATGGGTCATCAATGAGCAGATTAGATTGGATCCTGGTCTCTAAAGAATGGTTGTTAAACTGGAAGGAATGTAAACAATGGGGGTTGAAACGCATAATTTTAGATCGCAGCACTATTTTACTAAAGAACCAGATAAGGGATTGGGGTCCAAAGCCATTTAGAGTTTTTGATGCAAGGCTTGAGCAACCAGATTTTAAGCAGATGGTGGAGGAGATGTTGAATTCAATAAGGATCAGCGGATGGAGAAGCTTCCAACTAAGAGAAAAGATGAAAGCCTTGAAAAAGGCAATGAAAGAATGGAGCAGAGGCTTTGTCCATGGAGTGGAAGACCAAATTCAGAAGGCTGGGGAGATTATAAATCAGTTGGATATTAAAGTTGAGACTCAACAGCTAACAGAAGAAGAAGTGCAATCTAGGAGAAATCAGACAATTAAGTTATGGAAGAACTTAAGAATTATGGAGAGGATGCACCGACAGAAGGCAAGGAAGACTTAGCTAAAGGAAGGGGATGCAAACACAGGATTTTTCCACAGATGTTTGGAGAATAGGTGGAGAAGGAATGAGATTAATAGCATTCAAGTGAATGGAAGACTTTGCTCTGAAGTTGAAGAGATCAGGGAAGGCATCGCCACTCTCTATGAAAATCTTTTTAAGGATGATGGTTGGCCAAGACCAAAGCTAGAAGGAATTGAGTTTAAGCAATTAACAAGGGCACAAAATGAATCACTCATGGCACCTTTTGAAGTATCAGAAATTAAAGAGGTGGTCTGGGTATGTGATAGCTCTATAGTCCCTGGGCCTGACGGCCTAAATTTTTATTTTTGTTGTTCAAAAAAAAACAAATTACCTAATATGATAGGAATTTCTGCATCAGGTTTCGGAAAAGGATAGCTTGTTCCCATCTTGGGATAAATAATCAGAGCACCATGGACAGTCGCTCGCAACCATGTGCTATGAGCATGCCACCACAAAGTTCCTTCTTCGGTTGTAAAAATGATTTTCTGCCTAAATTTTGCTCCTGGTTGAATAGCACACTGAGTGATGTATTCTGGACCATCAGACCATGGATATCTTGGCTGCAACACTCCATGCCTGTCAAAATATGCTATAAATTAAGATCATGAGTAACATTAATCTAACCTCCTTTCATTTTACAATATTTAAGTAGTGATGAAATGGTTTGCGATTATTAATACCAATGAATGGTGATGTTATATTTTCCTCTGTTGTAAACATCTACAACGATGGTGTCTCCTTTATTAACATATAACGCAGGGCCCGGAAATTGGCCATTTACGGTTAGTATGTTCTTCGTATTGCATAGTCTCGTATATGGAACTTCCTTCACCTACAGAAACAATTTACGATGAATACAATTGCATGTTGTTGTTTTCTATTCAAAAAAATCTGAACATGTACTTACAACAAACTTGTAATGCGGAAACGCTTGGCAATGGTAGAAAAAGAAAAAGACTAAGAAGCCTAAGAGTTTGGAAGTAAAGACTTTCATAGTGGATAGTAATAAGTTGATATATAAGTGAATAAATCTCAATGGGATGGGGTTATAAATAGTGGAGAATGAGGCATATAATTCAAGAATTAACTTGTTAGTCAGATAAAAAAAAATTACGTAGTGGAAAAAGATATCTAACTTGCAAGTGAAGAGATCTTCGAGATGCTTTGTTTATTGACTCTGTTCTGTGAGAAGGAGGAAGAAGACATTGACCAGTATCTTCATGCTGTGTTAAAAAGTTTAAAGGTTATGGAATAATTGGTGGGAACTAATTTCTAGTGTGGTCGAAAGCAAAGAAAATTAACTGGGGGCCGGCGGGGAGTAGAAATAATTAAGGCCTAGACAGAGGCTTTACCTACCAGAAAGGTTGTCATGTTTATTCACCATATTCGTGTTAAGAACTCCCACCTAATAACTTCCATGGAAAATCCTTCCCTTCGCACCACGATCCAAAGCTACCACTTTATCATGCCTCACCCACGAAAAAATTGAAATAGAATTTCTCAATTATGCATGTCACTTTCAGTCATTCGCTTTCTAGATCTCTCTCATTGCTTATAAACAAGTGGATTATACAATTGGTGCGTTCTAAAATGTTGATTTGGGATCACTTTTAGGAATTCAAACATTTGCAATTTAAATAGCGGATTAATCTATAGGTTTATAAAAAAAAAATTCAACATGTGTGCCATTTTTTTGTCTTGAACTATTTTATTCTAAAATTTTAAGTTATAACTCTTAGGTTGAATTCACTAAAAAGTAAATGTCATCTTGAAGGCCAATTTTAAAGTTCAAGTTTTAGGGTTAACACTTAAAAAATTAACTATTTTTTTAAATGCATTAGGTTGATGTGGAGGTTGGGCTCTTAAATGTATTAGATTAATATATTTATTGTTAAATATTACTTAATTTATAACTGTTAATGTTGTAAAAAATAAATATAATATTAGAAGTTTATAATAAAAACAGAAAGTTATTGAATTTATTTGCTAAAACTAATAATTAAGACATAGTTAAAAATAAGAATAATAAGACAAATTTAAAATATAATTGAATAGTGTAATCAAAAAAATTAAAGATTACCTTAATTATAGAATTGATATTTATAGAGCACCATTTCCTAAAAAAAGATAAAATATAAATTAATTTAATATTTATATATAATTTCAACCAAATAATAATAATCAAAATATAATTGAAACAATTATAGTTTACATAAATAAAATTTATCCACCCAATGATTATCTCCCAACAATGTTTCCTACAAAACAACAATATTAAAAAAAATTAGAAGTGTAAATAAATTAACCAACATCTCAAATTCATGTTTAATCAATTATGGAGAAAGAATGATAGAGAAAAAGAAAAGAGATTGAGAAGATATAAATCAAAATTAACATAAATATAATGTAATTATAAGCATGATAAAATTCAGCAGCATTTTAATGAAAGAGGAAGGAGGAGAAACACACGAGGGAGGAGAAGAAAGAAGAAGAAACAAAATGAGCGTATATAAAGCCTTTTACATATGTGGAATTTGCCGATATTGTTTTTACCGAGGTAGCACATAAGATAAAAGTTTTAGCAAGAGAAAAAAAAAAAAAAGCAAAAATTTTGTGATCCTTCCTTTTTTTTCACCGACAAGATTCTTGTTGGAAAATTAAAAACCAAATATTTTGTGGTTCCTGCCATCATTTATTGACAAATGCATGCTGACAAGTTTTTTTTTTTTTTTTAAACAGTACCTAAATATGCATGTTGGCAAGTTAAAAGCAAAAATGTGGCATTCCTACAATCAAGATTGCCAACAAAGTGCATGTTGGAAGGTGAGAAGGTGACCATTTTTCCAATGTGCTCCTTGTGGGTAATGCTAAGTCTTCCCAGATTTCTTTCTTAGATTTCATTTCCTTTTGGATCATGATAGGTGCACAC